TTTCTTAACAGGATCAAACTGTCATACAGAAACAATATCTATTACTATTTAGAGTTTTCCAATCTGCTTTCTATGTTGCTTCATTCCAAAACTCAGTTTGTACTAAGTCACCATCTGGAATTTTAAAGTTTAAAATCATTTAACTGCTGTAGGTCTAGAGATAAATCCTGTACAGGAATTCAGGAAAACAAAGCACAAAATGCATTAAACCTTAATGGAATAAAACTACAGAAATAAAATGAAACATAAAAATGATCAACCTCAAAAAATAAACTACGAAGTAGAGACAAGATTCTGTAAACTAAATCTTTGTAAAACAAATGAATGCTTACAAAAAGATCCAATGGCACTGGTAATAAAAGAGCTCCTAGCCACAATTCTCATAAAACTCTACTTTCCTATATTAGTGTGATTAATATTTGATGCTGGCAATCTATTATCATTGTAAAGAAATATACACAGTTGACGTTAATCCTGAATAATAATAACTGATAACTATGCAATTTTTTTTGCCACTACTAATACTTTAAAGCCATGAACTGAATTTTATTAAAATGTGCTTTGGAGTAGAATCTATTTTACAAATTGTTTACTAATACATATATTCTATAATATTTTAAAGGAAGTTAAAAAGCGAAATCCTAGATTTCAACTTTAGTCCCAGTAATAAACTATTCAGTAGACAATGACATTTTCATTTCTGTTATTAAATGAAGCAGAAGCTAATTTAGCCAACTATGAATCTTCCATATAATGCTGCTTGGAATTCCTCCAAGGACACTACACTTTGCAATATAATTTTAGCAATGTTAACTATTAATGAACACTATAGTACCACAGTAACAAGTTACTTGTGGCATGATTTTCACAATGTTCTTATTTTCTCAGTATTTATCAATGCAAGTTAGAACTATGCATGGTCTTCAGAAGAAGCACTTCACGTTGTATGTAAATGAAGACCTCTCTACTATTCATTAAAGCAGTCCAACTTTTCTTAGGTTTCTGTATAAGTTTGAAAAGATCCTATTGTTTTAAGCGCTATATTATCTTTAATTAGTAGTTTTGATAAATATTTTTTTCCAAGCTCACCCTAAAGCCTGAAAAAAAGCCAGATTGCATTAATGAATAACAGAGAGGTAATAAAATTAAGTACTAGCACATTAAAAACTGTATATCTTCAGCCTTTGAGTTCAACTCTCCCTGGCATGGAAGAATTAATTGGTCCAATATTTGTTCTTGACTTTTTCAAGTACAGAATTCCAGTGGGAATGTTAGACTTGTACTCCCAAAAATATGTATCTAATATTAGCATTATTGAAAATTGTACATCTCACTAGTATTAACAATAGACTTTGTGCATCATATTTTCACCTTAATAATACAATTTATCATTTAACAAACACAGCAAAATTTATCTCAGAAATACTACTAAGGGCTTATACTACACTTGAAAATCACTGCAAATAATGCTATGAGTTTTAGTATTCATATTTGGATAGGCTATAAGACCTATAAAAAGAAAATAAAAAGAAGCTGTGTGTTGCCGCATCTGTGTATTACATTAAAAGTGCAGCAAGAAGTTATTGTGGTGTTTTTTTCTTTTAACAAGTAAGAAATCAGTTGTTATTTCCACAATATTAAGGCTTCCTTTACCAGCTACAGTATAATCAATCATTTCCCCAATTTACCACAATTGGGCATGACTAGAAACATTTTTTTCCCAGTTCCATAAATTGGAGATAGGGGAATTATCTTAAAACTACAGCTGAGAAGGCATAATCTCTTTGCACAGGTAAGCATCTCGGTGCAAATATCACAATTTTATTTATTTTCTCACATACGCAAACCAGAAAAAGATGGAGATTCATGGCTGCAGTCTATGTCTTTAACCTAATATGCAGCTTGTCTCTTAAAAGCATGATAAATACATATCACAGATGTTATTCTTGATGGACAAAGTGAATTTTCATATTCAGAGATAATACCCAGGTGAATAACAGATGCTAGAAGAACAACAGTAGAAGAAACTTATCATGGTATGTTTATGAACACTCCAAAGACATTTAATTTGGCCACTGGGGGAAGCAAGAGACTCAATTATATGAAACTCTGGTCTGTTTTATCAGAAATCTTCTGATGTTGCTTTTTTCCAATAATTTACTTTGTTAGATCCTATTTATTATTTATTTATTTATTTATTTATTTTTGACTCAGCTTAATCTTTGAAATATCTTTCAGGACCAGCTCCTTGCCTAACCTATGGTCACAAGCCACAGTCATCCCCATCTTCAAAAAGGGAGACCCAAGCCTAGTTGAAAATTACAGGCCAATCTCCTTATGCTGCGTCACCTGTAAAGTCATGGAATCAATTATTAACCAATCCATCATCCTCCACTTAGAGACAAATAACCTACTCTCCAATAAACAATTTGGTTTCAGAAAAAAACTATCCTGTAATCTACAACTCTTACACTGCAAAAACATATGGACGACACAACTCGACCAGGGCAAAGCAATAGACGCAATCTACATAGACTTCTGTAAAGCCTTTGATTCAGTGGTACACGACAAACTACTCCTAAAAATAAAATCCTATGGTATCTCTGGACAACTGAATAACTGGATAGAAGCATTCCTGTCAAACAGACAACAAATGGTCAAAATCGGAAGCGTCCTATCAAATTCAGTACCTGTCAATAGTGGTGTCCCCCAAGGCAGTGTTCTAGGACCAACTCTCTTCATACTCTACATAAATGACCTCTGTGATCATATTAAGAGCAATTGCGTTCTCTTCGCTGATGATGTAAAGCTGTTCAATACCACAGACAATACTGCTACCCTACAAAAAGATCTTGACTATGTATCCGAATGGTCAAACAAATGGCAACTTCAAATCTCAACAAATAAATGCTCTGTCTTACATATTGGCAAAAAAAATCAGAAAATAAAATACAAGCTGAATAGTCAAGAACTTGTTGATGACCCAAGCTCTGTAAAGGACCTTGGAATACTCACCTCTAATGATCTAAGTGCTAGAGCCCACTGCAACTACATAGCCAAAAAGGCATTAAGAGTTGTTAACCTAATCCTACGTAGCTTTTTCTCTGGTAATATCACACTACTAACCAGAGCATACAAAACATTTGCTAGACCAATACTCGAATACAGTTCATCAGTCTGGAACCCACATTACATATCTGATATTAGCACAATTGAGAAAGTCCAGAAATATTTCACAAGAAGAGTTCTCCACTCCTCTACTCATTGTAGAATACCTTATGCCACCAGACTTGAAATTCTAGAACTAGAAAACCTTGAATTACGCCGTCTTCGGTCTGACTTAAGCATGGTATATAAAATCATACATTGCAATGTCCTACCTGTCAGTGAATACTTCAGCTTCAACCATAACAACACAAGAGCACACAATAGATACAAACTCAAAGTAAACCGCACCAAACTTGATTGCAGGAAATACGACTTCAGCAATAGAGTGGTCAATGTCTGGAATACTCTACCCGACTCTGTAGTTTCTTCCCCAAACCCCAAAAACTTTAACCTTAGACTGTCTACTATTGACCTCACCCCTTTCCTAAGAGGTCTGTAGGGGGCGTGCATAAGCGCACCAACGTGCCTACCGTCCCTGTCCTATTGTTTCTCTTATTCTTTTATTTTTCTTATATGTACCCATTTCATGTATTCACAACTATGTATACACTTATACTTATTATCTTGTAAACAATTGGCAAATCAAATAAATAAATAAATAAATAAATAAATAAATAAATAAATAAATAAATTACAAACTGCAGAATGCATTTATTGTTGTTCCTTATTCTTATTTCTGAAATTAGGACACTACAGCATTTGGCAATGACTGGGAATAGAAAAGAAAATACAGCTAATGAATAGACAATTACTAGTATTTAGTCCATTTCATTGTTATAAAAATATAGTAATGGAAGTTTAAATTATAGTGATTGATACTGGCTTCTGTCATATTCCTGCTTACTTAAAAATGAATCACGTATATCTCATTGGGATAAATACTGCAGCTATCAATTAGATTTGAAAGTGTCCTATGCACAACTTTAAAAAATGATAAATAGCACAAAACTTTATAAAGAAATACAATTCTTTGTGTATGCATTATATAATACAGAAGAATGCACTTCAGTATTGTTACAACTAAAAAATGTTGTCTAGAAAAAATACCCAGTAAATTACTGATATTTTTTTTTAAGCTCAGAAGTGAGCAAAATTGGAACAGTAGTGCATCCTGCTGGATTGTTGTGAAACTGCAGAGTTCAAAATTGTATGTTATTAATTATTCATAAAAGCACAATTTATATCTTCAAAAATCACTTTAAATGATATTAAAATAAAGGATGAAAACTGAATAATTTATTTGAAAGTTAAGGAGATGGGATCAAGTATGCTAATATCAGTCGTATTAAGCATATCTTTCCAAAAATAGATTGAATGGAGGATTTTCCATGACTTGCATAGTATTTACTTTTAAGGCTGAGAGGGTTTAATTCTGAGAGGGATTTTTTTCCAAAATTGTCTTCTTAAAGTGCCTGCTTATATATTATTCACAGAGGTTAATTCTAAGCTACTTTGTGAAAAGCTACTTCATTTTACATCAAATATATCCTTTTCATGTAATTTCTAAAATTAACATTTCAATCTATATCACAATTAGTTATGTGTAATTGTTTAAAAATGTATAAAATATGCAACTTTGTGCTATGATCTAGAAGTGAATAGAAGTCAAACTCATCCATACATTAGTATTTATTTATTAAAATTATATGCTGATTACCCTCATTACTATATTTCCCATACTAGAATATCCAAACTGAATGATGTCCGTCTGTGATAGATTAAAAAAATATCAGGTGGTAAGTATAAGTACAGTTTATCTCTTATTCTCCCTTGTCTCAGTTCACATCCTGAAGTTTTAATAAAGCAATTCAAAAAATGAAAAGGTAACTTACTGATATAATACTCTTGAATGCTGCTTGAATAGCCATATATTACAGAGTAACCAAAAATCACAAGCATGATAACATCCCTACTGTCAAGTTCCACTATGTGTGCTGAGTGACCTTCGACTGCATATTGCTGGCCATGAACAAGCACTGCCGGAATTCGAAGGCTCCAGGTCTGACTTGGTATGTTGAAAATCCATAATTCATCAGTGACATTACCGGTATTTGTTTCAATTTTGCCTCCATACATGTAAATGTCATCCTATTTTAAAGAAGGGGAAATGATCGTTAGTTAAACTTCAGATAAAAATAAAAAATGCACAATTATAAATGTTGAGCTGTAGTATCATTCTTTCCACATTGGAAATAACATGGGCATATAATATTAGTTTATACTACATTCTTATACTACAGGATCTTATTTCTTTGAATTGGGGAGGGGGAACCTTCCTTTTTTCAGCAAGAATTTACTATACTAAAGACAAGCTATATATTGACCAATGAGCAGTGACAAATTTAACTGCTTTTTAAAAACTTTTTCAAAATTTATGGCATATAACCATAAATTACAAATGAACCTTGATGCAGTTACCATTGTAAATACTTTCTAGCAATTGGTATGTCTGAATTTTAGAGTAGATTATTGGTTCTGCAAATATTGTAATATTACTGCAGCTGCATAATACCACATCTCAACATTCTACTTTTTTCCTAGCCTTTTTTCCCAGCCTTACCTCGCTGAGTTTCAACTATTGTTCAGTTCCAGAAAAGCACGTGCTCACCGAACCGGTTGTTACACCGGTTGAGTTGCACCCCTGCTCAATGCATATTACAATCATTGCAAAATATTTTAGTAAATAGTAAATTTAGTAAATTTAGTAAATTTAGTAAAAATAAGTTTGGTACCACCATAAATGGATGTTCTCTACAAGGCACTCTAAAATGTTCCCATTACTCTTTTAAAGTCATGTCCTGACATCTACTTCTGTTCAATCTCTATAATGCCAACAGTAGTAACATATAAAGGAAGAGGTAGCGGTTGCTTACCAACTATTCCTTCAGTTGAATTACAAAGTTACAAAGTGGTGAAAAATAACTTCAGGCTAAAATAACTTTAGTTAGGACCATTTACTACTTTTGCCGCATCCCTTAATGATCTGTGCAGGGGTGTTTTTTTTTTTTGTTTTTTTTTTCTCCTTTTGCTGTTCTAGACTTTGAAAACAATGCAGTTGTGTGGCAGCCTGGGGCAGTAAACAGGTACGATCACAATTGAGGCCAACATTTTTGCTGCTAAGTAAAACATTTTTAAGTGAATTTTGCCCCATTTTACAATTTTTCTTGCCACAATTCCTAAGTGAATCATTGCAGCTGTTAAGTTAGTAACATGACTGTTAAGTAAATCTGGCTTTGCTTGTCAGAAGATCTAAAAAGGGGATCACATAACCATAGGACACTGCAATCATCATAAATATGAGTCAGTTGTCAATCACCCGAATTTTTATCATGTGACCATGGGAATGCTGCAACAGTCATAAGTGTGAAAAATGGTCATAAGTCACTTTTTTCAGTGGCATTGTAATTTCAAATGGTCATTAAATGAACTTCCGTAAATCACGGTTTACCTATACTCAAAGATTCCTAAAAGGAGAGGAGTGGTTAGGGAGCAAAACAAAAGCCAAAGGTATTAAACTATTATATCTTTCCAGTTGGAAAGCATAGTTGCAACCCTATGGTTTCCACACAGCAACCACCTCACTTAGGGGCAGAGTCCTTATTCCACTTTGGTTTGTTAAATGAGGACTACCTGTAGTTTCATTTTAGTATCAATACATTACAATTTGAATATCTTCTGTCAAATACAATTGAATGCATTCAGATTTACTTCACTCTATAAAAATTGGTGGATCAACCTGTAAAAATTATGATAAGAGCATCTTTACTAATAATCCTTCCTTTCTATACTATCCTTTTCTTTTCACATCTGAAAATGCTTAAGGCTAATAGTCTTATTGCTGGGTTTTTCCAGAAGTCATTGCTTCTTAGAATCACATTCAAACTCCACAGAGCCAAAAGAGTAATATAAGCAGACAAAATTATTGATTAGATAATTTTCTCTTCCTTCTAACCGTGCTAACTGTGCATCATTACACCTTATGTTGATGAGTAGCAGATGACTGGAAATCAAACCATCAGTCTCCAACTCCCAAAGAAATTCCAGTTTAAAGAAACACTATGTTCACTGCAACAATTCTTTTAAACCCATATTAAATGTTTTTAAACAATTTAAACCAGCTATTCTTGCACATCATTATAATTTAAATTTAAATTAACTTTAAACTTGCCAGATTAGAAAAACATGTAAAAGATTTTATTAAAAAATCTGCTTTTGGTTTGAGTCTATATTATTATACAGTGTTTTCCAGTCAGAAGCAGAATGGAAATGTTGTTTCCCTTTTAATTGTAAAAAATCCAGACAATGTTTATATTTCTCCCAGGATTTCAACTGTGATGAAAAGAATCCAAACAATGGAAAAACTGCATTTAATACCTAATAGCACAAGAAGAGCCATACTAGGCTGCCATATGGACAATAAACAGATGGTGCTATTTGTTCTGACAGGACTAATTCTACTTGCTGAAAATAATGACAATTTGATATGGGTACTTATTTGTATCCACCATCCTCTCTTCCAGCAGGTGATCAATACTGTCAACAGTACCAGTATTTTTTTAAAGAACTTCAGCTCATTCAGCAATATATACAATGACAGCTATATAAATCAATATTATATTTTTACTGTTAACAACTAAATAGAGTCATATCATTTTTATATATAACTATCTTCAGCCTTTCATAGTACATTGATTGACATTAATGATGCACAGAAGCTTAATCTGCATTAAAGGTCAATAAGAGTTCTGGAGACAGATGGATCTTTCAGAAGAGTGTTAATCTCAATTAGCTCACTGTCCATATATGGAGAAAAATTGTTAAAAGGAGATATAATTCTAGAATGATTAATATGGGGAAACACAAGATTATTTTTTTTAATAAAATAGAATAAAGTTTGTGGGACAGTGGGATCAAGGATTCCATTTACACTGAAAGAGATACCAAGGTTTAGAAAAATGTTATATTCAGAATGAATATAACAGTATGTGGGAATCATCCTAGAGGCAGGGAGAAGAAAAGACAATTTAGCCTTAGTATGAATGTGAATGTGAGCTCAGAAGGGACCATTTTTTTACTTTAAAGGGAATAGGGATGAAATGTACTTTTAGATTTGCAAGACTTAATAATGTAATCTCTCAATAAAATAGAATTAGCTCAGCTGGCCATTCTTCCTGTCTGATCTACCTCACAAGGCTGACAATGAATGCAATTGAGAGGAAAATATTTATCACTGGGAATGGCAGGAAAAAAAGCTTATTATAGTTCATTAATTTTGAAAATGCACATATAAAAATAAACAGGCTTTTGAGTGAATTCTGAGTTGAAAGTTGGCGCTAAATGCACCAAGAATAGTACACAATTGAAGTAAAGTATGTGGCAGATAAACAGAATGCTTCAAATCTGTACTAAGGGATCTACCCATCTAGGAAATTTACCAGTTCCACAATACAGCTGCTCAAGCAGTGGCATGCATGCCAAGTTGTCCAAAATAAAACTTCTACTAGAACTGCACTGGATGTTGGCTGACTTCCTAGTGTAATTCAAAGAGCTAGATATCACAGAGTTGAGAGTTTGCCTATGGGACTGCATATCCCAATGTCTATCTACTATCTAATAAGATCACGAAGGATAGAGTCACTTTGTATTCTATATAAAATACAGAATTCCCCACTTAAGTCAGAAAGTGTGTCATAACTGCACAGTTATTTCATGGAATGGTGTTTTATTCTAATATGAAATGAGAAAAATGTACCCTTGATTCAGAATTCTAAATACAGAATTCTAAAATACCTTCAGAACAGTGTTACTACAATATGTCATATAGAACATTATAAGAATGAGTTGAGCTGGATAGCAATAGCAATAGCACTTAGACTTATATACTACTTCAAAGTGCTTTACAGTCCTCTCTAAGAAGTTTACAGGGTCAGAATATTGCCCCGAACAATCTGGGTCCTCATTTTATCTACCTCAGAAGGATGGGAGGCTGAGTCAACCTTGAGCCTGGTGAAATTTGATCTGCCAACTTATAGGCAGTTGGCTGTCAGCAGAAGTAGCCTGCAGTACTTCACTCTATCCACTGCGCCACCGAGCTGGCTGAGTTAGAATCAGAGGGGGCGGGGGGATGAGGAGGAGAAGGAGGAAAAGAATCTTTCGAATTTAATTCTGATGTACAAACAAACCTGATATAAAGCAATAGTATGTCCATATCTCTGAAGGGGTCCTTTCAATATAGGCACCACATTCCAAATGCTGCTTTCCAAATTATAGCTAAAAAGTGAATAAACAAATAGTTTATTATCTATAAGCAAAATTATAGACTTGTATATGCTTACAAATTAAAATATCATTTTCTGTTTCTTCCTGATATGCCATATAACATCTAATAAATATAATTAGAAATTAATTTTTGCAACTTTTCCTTATCCCACCAATATTTTTAACCAATAAAACACGTTTAAAAATGAATAAATTTTCAAACAAGATTTTCAATTGATTATTGATTGTTTTTCTCATTGGGTTTATGGCTTATCTTGAATCAGGAAGTGACCATTTTCTGAAAGTTGCAGAAATTTATTTTGTAGGTGTAGTTTTGTGTGTTTCATGAAACCCATGTCAAAAAATATCATCAGTTGTATGAAAGCATTGGCAGTGCCAGCAACCCAAGCTGGTTTTCACTGAACTTAAAGATATTTATTATCCCTCCCAAGACTTTAAGCATAGCAGAATTATATTTGTTAATCAAGTATTCCAAGTTTAAAAAACAAGATCTAAAATATGAAGGCATACATTAAAAAGAATACAATTTTCTAATTAAAATCCTGGTGGAAGAAATACCACGTTATAGATAATTTTTAAAATAAGAAAATGCAGCTAAAATGCAGCTCCCAAACAAGTTTCTTAGTCTGGAGACAATGAAGAATAGAGTTTTCTTTGTCAGGCCTATCTCAGTGTAATTCAAAGAAATGAATTTTAGAGATAAAATGGACATTTATCTATGAAAATGCTTTTGCAAATGTACAGAAGTTTCTTCCAATATTATAGTCCGATTGAAACAGAAAATCTTACAAATGGAAGCAAACTTCAAAAAGGAATAAATCAAGTCTTGCTATATTTGGATGGACGCACACACGTGCGCTTGGATACACACACGTGTGTATGTGAATCCCTAGGTTTCTGCAATTTTTACTTCCTTGAGGAAAGACAAGGACAATGGTAATGTCCATGTCAATGCAGAGTTTTGCATCATTTAAGTTAGCTCTGAAGCTTTTATTTTTAATTCATGTATATAAACCAAATATAAAAGCATACAGCCTTACCACACCTTGTTCCCCCCTCAAGCCCTCCCCAGTTTAGTTCATTAATCCACAACACTTCACTTTCAATCATCTCTCTTTCTGGAAGGTCTGAACTGAACCATGAGGCAGCAAGAAGGCAAGACAGGCATAGAAGAGAGAGAGATGCTTTTCATTAATTTTCAACAACTTACACAAAATTCAAACAAAATTAAGAAAAGCAATAACTTACTTTAATACCATCTGGAAGGTACTGTAATTAAATGCATATCCACCAATTACCCACATAAACTTTCCATGAAGAACTGCCTTATGCGAAGCCCTGCTCACAGATGGACTAAATGGTTTCACGTTAGGCAGAATCCAATATGATTCCATTGAGGGGACATTCAAAGAACAATCAGGACCTGTTTAAAATACAGAGGGAGAGAAAATCACACCTGGGGTGTACTCTTATTAATTCAATCACAACAATTTTTGATAGTAATTACAACTGAGATAGTACAATATATAAAGTGAGCCAACCTCATATATTGTAGAATACTCAATGCATGTAGACATTTTAAAAATTTAACAAATTGCATACTCATGTATTTTAAATGGCATGTTAGTTTAGTTTCTAAGATGACAAATTTTATTTTTACTGTAAATATTTTCATATATTTAAAAGAATATTTTAAAGGCATACAGAAGATATGCTTTTCTATTATTTTTACCTTATGGAAGAAGACTGTGAAGAACAGTGACACCAAGTGGTAAATTACACACTCTATTATATACAAGAAAAATATATTCATGTTTAAAATATTTTTTTTCCTATAATTCATCCAGTTTATTGTAATCTGATGCAGCACAGTAATTATGAAAGTGAGTATATTACACATAAAACTACTGTATTCTATGATTTAGTCAACAATAAACAAACCCCAATTCATCTAGAATTTTAAAAACTCCCTGACCTATTTAGATTTGAGTTTCTTCATTTTAAAGCACTTATAACTAAACCCAATCCAAAAGAATCCTGGACTGTTTACAACACCAAACAAAATGAAAAACATAACTAAATCAAAATCATTTATCAAACCAACAATTAATCAAAAAATCAAATAAAGTTAACATGTAGGATAAAATACAAGATAGGCACCCACAGCTATCAGCTGGGACTGAGAGTACCTTCCTATTAAATCATTTTGTTATGAAGATGCAGCAAGCAGGAATTGTATGTACTTCTGGGTACATGTATTCCATACTGTGGGATCTTTTACAGAAAAGGCTGTATCCCCATTAACTTCAAATCAGGCAGAACTTTCAACAAGCCAACACTCTGAATTGGGTCTAGATGCCTTTTGACAAGCAATTTCTTTGATTATTTTATTTTTATAATAAAACAATGTTCCACGTGATTTGTTTATTTTCTGTAGGCTCTATTAAGATTCTGGCATTACAAGACTATTTAACCACACAACTTTATGCATTCATAGTTATTATCAACACCTAATCTCTTTGTCTCCAAATTCCTCAAAATGTGATAGATATTCCCTGCATACTAGGTACAATTCAGAGGTGGTATTCAGCAGGCTCTGACCAGTTCTGGAGAACCAGTAGCGGAAATTTTGAGTAATTCAGAGAACCAGTAAATACCATCTCTGACTAGAGATTTTACAGTATCCTTTCTCTGCCACACCCACCAAGCCACGCCCACAGAACCGGTTGTAAAAAAAATTGAATCCTACATCTGGTATAATTATTGCAGTAATTTTACTGACTTTTATCCAAGTAAGCATGCCATGCATTAAAAATAAAGCCAGTTTTAAAGATTGAAACCTCTCATAAATTTATATGAAATTTGGAAGGACTGAATATAAAGCTCCACTTTATCTCCAAATTTCATCCCATTCTACCAGAAAAAAAGCTGTTTGAAAATGGGGTTTTTTCATAGTACTTCCTGCTACTTTGTTTAATTTTAAAAATTATCTTGTAAATCAACAGGAACAGCCTTCAAAATAATTATTTATAGAAATACCAAATAAAATGTACACAATAAGAATTTATAGTTGCTTAATTAAAAAAATTATACCTGCTTAAAACTTACACATTACTTATTCAATCCTCAAATTTATTTCACTCAATATTAAATTTTAGAAGAAAACTTTATAGTCAATTGACCCTATCAAACATAGAATAGAAACAAAGAAAACAAAATAAATCATCCTCCCTACAATTAACCCCAATCTGATCTCGGTATTCTGTTCTCTTTTGAGATCGCCTTTGAATGAAGAGTGCTGGTAATATGCAGGTTCATTCCCTGCAATAAAGAATGCTGCAAATTGTCTCAATATTAATTAATTAATAGCAGTTGTTGAGGTAATTCTCCGTTAGGAGAATGAGCGCATACAGGGAGACGTATTTGAGAGTAGTGTTGGAATAATACACACAGAGCACACAGATACACTGTACAGTAAATGTAGGTTTTTACTTCCAGAAAGGTTTAAGCAAAGTCCAAGATAAGCAATCCAAAGTAATTCACAAGTTAAATCAGTCAGTTTTCAATCCAGGGATTATCCAAATATCAAATTCCAGTGTCAAAAACAGTTCAGTATCAGACTTACATTAAATCCAGTAATATCAGTCAATTAGAAGAAAATGGAGCAACAGCAATACTTTCCAACAGAAGGAAAACAGAGATACACTCAGACACACTCTCTTCTGAGACTCAGACTAAGACTAAAACAATCCAGGTTTCTGGCTCCATCTTATGGATGTTTGAAAAACCACACCTAATTACAGTTTTGCATTTTCTTAAAGTTACAGTTTTAAAATGTTTATCCTGGTTTATATATTTCTAACCCAAATAGCTGTTAGGTGACTTACATTCCTAACAGCAGTGAATTATCAGAATGTAAAAGTTGACATCTACATTGATCATCTTTACATTTACAGGAAATATAAATGCTAGTTTTCTTGGTCCAGTACTCTGGACAGCTCTTTATATCAAAAGACGTGTACACATGCACGCACACACACGCATGCATGCACACGTACACACACACACGCACACACACACAAAAATAGGTAGGATTCAGTACATTGGAGATATGTAAGCTCTTATATCACAACATATAGTAGCAACTGCTTTTATTGCTGCTAATGGATATTTATCACCACACAATTTTATAAACAATTATAATCTAATTAAATTTGTATGCCTGAACCAGGAGGAATTATACATCTGTATACATATCCTAGCCAAAAGAAGAGAATTAGTACAAGCTCACATCACAGCTTGCAAATCTGAAGATATCTACTGTAAGTTGTTTTACAAACTACCAATTTTCACATGCTATACTACTTTGATAAGTCTGTTAGACAAATATGCAAGGAAATACTTATCAGTATTTGATGCCTGAGTCCTGTTACAGAATTTTGATTCTAAATAGCAAAAGCATCCCAAAACACCAACTTTCCAACTTTTTCTATAAATTCCAGATTGTGAAATGTGACTACGAGCACCATTATTTATTCCAGTACCATCAATGACATACCAGGGATAACAGACATTTGCCCTGATCAAACCTATTATAAAAAGAAACATTCATAGTGATGGATACAGATGGATAGAGATGCATATTCAAATAGAAAACCTGATATGGACCCCAGATAGAGACATATGTTACACAGATTGGGAATGTCTTAAATTAAAGCCATATTGCTCAGAATCATTCATCAGGCATGGAGGACAAGAGACCAGAAAAGGGCATAAGCTTTAAATGCCCGTGACAAGTGCTACACTATCCAAACATATTTCAACTTAAATTTTAGCTCTCAAACCTGAATTTCTGCAACCTCCTACTGAACAGTAGTATATTTCTAGAGCAATTGATATAGGACAATATAGATTTAATTACCATATTTAAATATTGTCATATACAAATCTAAAAAAATAGAGCTCCAAGCAATTTTCCAAGCAAGACAGTGTAAAGAAAAATTGGTATAATTAAACAATGACAGACTGAATTTATTATTCATTGTCTGAAAAACATTTTTACTTAATGGCTGGCTACCTCTTATAAACTAACCTGGAGCTAATTTGGTATAAATTTAGACAGGACTGATTTTAAAGGCTCTAGACAACTTATATCATTATATTATACCTTAATAGACTACAATTCCAAAACTGATAATGCAATATTTCTGCTAATCTGAATTAGAGATATGGTTTATCACTGCATTTTTAAACACTTCGCTTTGATTATATTTGAACTGATGGAATATTTGAATATTGAATATTTTGAATATTGATGTAAAAAAGTTTCTTAATAACAATAAAAAAGAATCTCTAATTTCTTTCCACTGCTAAAAGAGCTAAACTTGTGCCTAAATGATTCTGTATATCATTATGACTAATGTACAACAGGCTGCGTTTTCCAGTTCTTCCTTATGTCAGTATATGTAAGACAGCAATGCTAGAATATGCAGATTGAACATTACTGAAATTTATACAAATCTGTAATTGAAACATTAATAATTCACTAATACAGTTGTATTAGAATTTATTTTAAAATGATATTTTAAAAATAGCTTGAACAATAATAGTTTTTCACACTTTATTTTGATTACCATTGCAGATGTTCATTTCACTATATCCACCAGAGGTCACAATTGTTTAAAAAGATATATTAGAATACTAAATAAACTCTTTATAATATGAACCAAACGCATTGGTGTAACTATTGAATAGATCGAAGTTTGCATAACTTTGTATTAATATTTCATTTTTTAAAAGCAGGTATTAAAAACTAAAATGTTTTATGATAAAATTTTCTATCTTTATAAATATTTTAAAGAAATATCTGAAACGCAATTAAGAATTAAAATTTAACTTCTTCCCCTGAGATAGTGCATTGTTTTAATTATCTATTGCAACAATCACAGTGCATGTACTTGTACAGACAGCTCTAATTTATTCCCTCCATTTCTCATTATCTCTCTTCACATTATATTTAATTCACACTATATTTAAAACCACTTTCTATTCTGGTTCAATCTACTAACACTAAGCTTCACTTAATTCTTATCCTTATTGTTTTCTTTTACATTTTTTCTTCATGCCACCATAAGCCACCCAAATTTCAACCTTCTTCTCTTGCCCTTTTTTAATAGATACTAGGTTGGTTAGAAAACCTTATGCACTGCAGAATCTAAATTTCGGAATACTTTGCCATAGTTTGTCAGGCGCCTTTCACTGCTAGCTTTTAAGTTATTTATGACTTAATTTTATTTTGTGCCTTTGAGCCAATGATAACCCCTGGCAATAACTTAAACAAGTCCCTGTAGTTTTCTTAGCAAGATTTTAGAAGTGGTTTGTAATGAGTTGAGAGAAAGTGACTGGCCCAAGGACACACAGCTG